AACAAATACACGTGTTCATTATAACATTTATATATACATTTTTGTTTATAAGATTGCAGTAAAAAGAAAGGTTTCTTTGGTAACAAGGAAATTATCGAAAAAAATGACAGGTACGAATATTTAGTTATAATGTACGATTATGAGATGTATGATTCTTTGGATTAACTTAGTTTGGTTTACAAGGACAATCATTTTATTAAAAAGAAAACAGTAGCTTGTCTTCTTTAACCCTGTTGTTACAAAGGTACACGATTGTGCGTGCTCCATGCAGTAATTGACTGGTTCAGAAAAATTGCGCACATTTGCATCAACTTTCCTTTGCTTCCCTGTAAAAATGATAACGCACATATAACGAAATGAGTGCATACATGATTTTCATCCTCCATTGCACTGCATATAAAATATACGTTCATTGATATCTTTATTTACAAACACATCCCATTTCGAATTTCAATGGAGCACTTCCACATCTAAATTTCAAAAGAACGCTTCTTAATTTGAATGAAATATAATATAGTCAGACAAAGAGATATAGTCAATTTCACTTGCATTTGTTTCACTTACAAGCTCAAAATCTAAACAAATCCTACTTGAAATTGAATATGAAAGAGTCTATATCACATACATGTAAATATTATAACTATTTTTTTACACATTTCGAGAAAAAATCGAAATGTTATTCAGCGCTTCATGTTGCTGTTGAGACAAAATTGCAAATTTTACAAATCACTGTTAAATTTGCAATAAAAGACGAAACTTCCTAAGTCGAATTTACGTGTATTCGAAATATGATATATAGATTTAATTTCAGACATTTTTTTTTTTTGGTTTTGGTAAACATTGTCGTCCCCCTTTAACATTTTTGGGCTGAAAACTGAAAATTTGCCACAATCTTTCAAAATTGTGGTTTTCGGACATCTTCAGCCGATTTTAATTTGATGGTCTCTTTACAAAAAAGCTATAATATTGTTAAAACCTTTAAACACACACATTGGGCTGTTTTACTCCATATTTAAGTAAAGATAGAAATTATTTTTTCAGAAGGGCTATCTTGTGTTAAAAAATGCCAATGTAAATTGGTTGATTCGTTTTATTTTTTTTTTTCTTAAACAGTTTATAAGTTCGTTACTTTTTAACAAAATGAATGACAATATTATATCACGCCAATTTTGTAAATATGTATCGAAAGAAATAATTTCTAGCGAATCGATGGATACGTTAAGCTCTCATAGGTTATGGAGAAGAAAGAATGAAGTAGACAATTTAGTTTGAAGGTCAGAATTACGAATTCGTGCTCTCAAATCTCTAGCGGTCCTATGTCTTTATATACCAATAAAGTCAACTGATCTATAAATTTATCCATGTTTGTCATAATTTCTATTGAGTATTGATTCGCGTGGCGGGTGATGCGTCAACAGCAGGTTCTGTCGACGCACCCGACCACAATCCAGTAGGACTTAATTTGAATCCCTCATATTTTGGTTTGTAACTTGATATTTTTTTTTTGGCTCTTTAAATTTCGACATCAGTAAACTACTCTCGTCTCTAACTCACGTGTAAACTGAGTCTTTTCGGTTTCCTGTATAACATCTTAGAACGTCCTTTTTATTTTACAGCTCTTCGAAGGTGATCGCAGTGTTGGCACTCCACAATTTTTGAAAGTGACGTTGTAATTGAAAAGAAGTGTTTGATTAAGTTATTTTTGTGCTGAAAATGGGTAAAATCAAATGTGTTTGTCTTAATTTATTCGTTCTGTACTGACATGATGCAAAATACACATTTTTTTCTGTGCGTTGAGCAATTTAAGAGATATTATGAAACTATGGTTCTAACTCCCGCAGGCAAGTACTGATTTTTATTTTCTAGGTTTATTCCTGAAATTTGAACATCGCTAGACTACTATTGTCTCTAAATTACACTTTAATTTTCAAAATATTTTGAAATATGAAATGAGACAATGATGTCTGATGCTTTACACAAAACATGACAACTTTTTATAATTAAGGGCAAATGCCACATATTAAAGTTTATCCTCACTAGAAGGTTGTCTATTTCCTGCAGCAATGATTTTCTAACAATTCTTTTAATTGATTGCGTAAGCGATTGTAAAGAACAAAAATATATGAAGCTACAGTACCATACCAGGATGTTTAACACTCTAAAAGTAATGCTATGGTTACATGATAATTAGGTACACAAATATATCTAAATACAAAAGTAGATCCTAACTATAGTTAAGGTACATATAAGTATATGGTGTAACCGCTTTGCTACAGAACTATTATACATGTAGGTTAATGTGTTGTGTAAAGTTCCTTCAGGTGGAATCTATTTATCAAATTTCTTATTGGCTTCTTAAAAGTCAAGAACAAATATGAAGAAGATACTCAGAAGGTATCACAATTTGTTTAAAAGGACAACATCTGAGTCCAGAAGAAAATGTAACAACAATCCACAAAACACAAAACACAAAAATGAGCAAAATGACAGACAAACAAAAGATGAACTGAATAATTATAGAAGTCCCTGATCTTATAATGGCACCCATCGTGCTAATCGTTGCAGGTAAAAACCAAAGATAAGATACAATCTGCGATAAAACAATTGAAAAAACGAGATCGATATGGTGGCTACAAAAGTGAAATATTAAAAACCAAAACGTGGAACAGTGAAAACAAAAACAAAAGCAACTGCAATCCCAATTGAAGAAACTTATTGGTGATCTCCGGTGCTATGGGGGAAAAGGCAGATCCTGCTCTTCGTGTGCCACCTGTTGTTTTGCTCTTGATACTTTCGAATTAGGTTGTAAGTCTCTTTCGGTGATACAATCATCTACTACAAGAAGAAGGGATGATGGCTACACTTGCAACATGTAATCGTGGTCATCTGTGACACATATAGTCTATAACGGTTAAAAAACGCGCATGACGGATAAATAGATTTATAAATAAAAACTGCATGAAAAACTGTAAAAACTTCTAAGTCTCCAGACCCCGTCTATTATAATTACTCCTGTTAAATAAACTCATCATAGATACCAGGATTAAAAGATACTAACGGTTCTGGAGACTGTCAATTCACGTGTAGGACAGATGGATAAAGAAAAATAGAATACAAAGCAAGGTATAAATGTATATGCTGACATGGGTGCTCTTTGTTGGTTTCTACAGATATGATATGAAATCAAACATACCTCAAAAATCGTAATTACACAACTCTACCTGCTATTCATATATATATATATATATATTTATATTGGGTCGAATGACTATCGGCAGTCTTCAGAGGTAATCTTGAAGGTTTATTAGATGGCATCTAGTCTAAAGTATGCACAAAATACTGATATATATTTAAACAAGCACATGCATTGTTAATTCCCTTATTTTTTTCATTTTGACTTTTTGTATTTTGTATTTACGTTTTGATATGTTATGAATCAAATATGAGAATTTAAGTTAAATCGGTGATCATGAATTTGCCCCTTTAAGGTTAATAATTATCTCAAATATTTTTAATTTGTGAAGATTTTGCACTTAACCCAGACTAAAAAAACCCTGATATAAAACAAAACAACTGAACTAAATGACAATTCCATCCTTCACAATTCTCGACATATCTTTACTTAGCGCAGACTCAGATATTACATATTGATGGTTGTTTCTATTTACCTTCCACGTAAATTCACATGTATCGTAACCTATGTATAAACACTATGTCGATTTCATTGCGTTCAAATTGAAATTGAAAAAGAAACTACAGAACCGTTATTCCTATTCTAATGCGTAATTAAAAGAATTAATGCACAAGAGCTTAAAAAATGTATAAATTCAAAATAAAATAAAATTCCGCGAAATTTTGTGAATTATCTTGGCGCATTAACGTCATAACATACGAATGAAAACTCTCAAGCTGAAGGTTTTCCGTTACGTATACGCCCTAAGTTCTGATATTATCGCATTTAAATGAAGCTTTGAGGTAGATGTTGTTTCATTCTCTATTCTATAGCATTATTTGCACATTATTTGGATTTCAACAAGTCAACATGGCGGCTCACTCAACGATTTGACAGTAAATAGTAGCCAACGAAAAAAAAAATGTTTTGGTTAATAATTATAAGGATTGAACACATTTTTTTCTACTGGTTATTAGAATGGAGTTATTTATGGAAATAATTCAAACAAGACTTAGATTTATTTAAACATTGGAGCTTTTGTCTTACAGGGGATAAATAAGAATAGCCATACCCACGGCAATCTTACCTTCGCTTCAATTTTAGAATTACCATATTTGTCCTATTAGAATCGAAATAATTCGCCACCACATCAAATTTTAATTTTATTTTACACGTCTAAAACTCTTAAGTCGAAAACAAATGGACAATGACATGGCAAAAACCAAAACAAGATCGTAAGACAAATGACAGTAAAATAAACACCACAAAACACAATAAAACTAAGGACTGTGCAACACGAACCATACTGAAAACTGAGGGTAGTATCATGTGTTCCGAAAGGGTAAGTAGTTTCTGCTCCACATGTGGCCCCGTCGTGTTGTTTATGTACAAACCAAGTGGTAAATCGAATTCAGTAGATCAAATTCGAGGAAAGGAGGATGGAATTCTGGTTGCAAAAATTGGAACATATTTATCATCTTCTATCAAGGAAATTGTGATAGGAAATGCTGAAGCAGTAATCCTCTGTTTTCTCGTTAAAAAAAATCTGAACCAACGTTCATTGCCAATTTCTAGTTGTGAGTCAAGTTATGAGGCATACAAAATAACTGTATTTGTTTTATCCTTCATTTGAAGCTCGATGGGATGGATGCGTTCAACATTGTCATCAGAATTATTTAGTGAGAGGACATCATCTATATGGTGGAGTGTGAAGTAAAAGGATAATGCTAGCTTCTTTTCGTTCTTCATAAGAAGACCCTGTATGAAGACAACTTCATATAATTAAAGGAACAAGTAGGCAAGCAGAGTAACAGAGTTGGTTCCCCATGGGAATGCCAAATGTTTGTTGAAGAACACGTTCATCAAATATAACAAATATGAAAATAAAAATTGGCATGCTGTGTCTGACATAATTGTCAAAAAGCTAAGGCTGAGTCCATCACAGCTGTAAGTATAGTTTTTTACTTATATTACAAGAACAGGAATAAAAGCCCTGTTCATTGATAATTTTTATATTTTTTCTATGTATTGTGTGCTGTTTTGTCCCATGTACATTTACTCCATATCCTTTTATTTTCTATTGCTCAATTAAGCAACACGAGCAATGGCAGAACAAACATACACTAAAGTATTAAAAAAAATCTATAACAAATTTATAAACTTTTACAAGATTGGTTTTACCTGAATGCCCCTATAGTGTAAAATATTACTTTTACCCTTGTTGAACCTCAATAATAAACTATTTTGTAAATAAGAAATGTTAAAACATTTATCACAGCTGTAAGTATAGCTTTTTAATTTGATATTATTGCATCAATTTTGATTATTTTATTGCTAAAAGCAAATAATGCTTATCAGCATCAGCACTATACAATATCAGTAGTTCAATCTTTGTGCTGCTTAAAATTCATTATACCATACATTTATGCAAATTGATTTTTAACACATTTTATTATATTTCATAGGAAAACACGTAGAAATATAAGAATAAGAATAAGAATAAGAATATTTATTATTCCAATCAAGGGCCCTTGATGGGCAGCATTACATGTACACATAAAACAATACATCGTGATTTGTAACAGAAAAACATTTTTATATATTGAAATGAAACATTAAAAAAGTTCAGACAGATGTTATTATCTCCATTCTATAAAAATTGATTCTCACATAATACCAAAAATCATGATTAAAGAGGACTCCTCTGAAATTTAATTTCATTCTCTCAACCAACATTTCAATACCTCAAGTCGGAAGGAGACATCAGACGGCACATTTTCCTGTCAAAAATGAAGAGTGCATTATGTCCTTTCCAGCATATGAAAGCATGGAAGGACATTTGCTCATTGGAGATTGTTAATTGATTATACCAAATCATTCATCTGTTGATTTTGTGAAAACCGCTTATCTTGAAAAGATACATAGCAGCAAAAGTTTGCGAATCTAAATGTCTCTATCATACGTCATGTGGTCAAACTATCAAAAAGATGGGCAATGAAACTGGAAAGGAAATGCTAAAAGTTTAATGATAAACAAAACAAATTATCTACTTGAGAAATTTAGCAAAGGTGAAGTCACTGGTCAAAAGGAAGATCATAAGAAATTTCTGCGGACATGAAAATTGCTAACGGAGACGTTGGAAAAAAATTGTTTTCATTAGAGGATGGAAAAAGACTTTATTCATTAAAGGAATCAACAAATCACAAGATTTTTTTCTAGATATTTAATAAATCAGTAATTATGTCTTGTATCCAAGGTTTTATATTTGTTTTCCTTACTTTGTATTTTTCTACCAATAAATAAGCTGTTTATCTAAGTACCTGTTTTATATATAGCACGCCTTTTACGAATTAACGTATTTGATTCACGAAAAGCGAAAAAGTCGAAGAGTAACTTATAACACACATTGAAGTTGAACTATCCTGATTTGAACATGCTTGACACAGTTGTAAACTTGACAAAGTGATGTGCTTGACTCACACATTCGTTGGAAAAATATACACTTTATATACAATATTAATGATTACATTGAAACTAATAAAATTGAGAATAGAAATGGGGAATGTATCAAAGAGACCACTTTAACCCTCTTTATCACAAATCCATAAAGAAACCAGTGAAAAAATATTATTCAAATAGGATAGAAAATAAAATTTAATTGTGTTTTTTTTTTATTTAACCACTTATTATTTTGAAAGCATTCAGACCAACAAAAATTCTGATACCTATTTTAGAATAGAAACTATATAATTATAAAATGATTGTTTATCAGCATAAGGAAAACACTGTACTTATGGGCTTCTTCTTAGAGATAGTGAGTCACTTACAATGTATGTACCAACCTACCTTTAGTGGTTTAATATTTGGCTAAAATTTGTAAGAATTTGTTTAATAGATCTAAAGTTATTCCTTGAAAACCATGTTAAGATATAAAGCAGTTCATGCCTCTTTCAAGGCACCTGTTATATGATACACGGAAAGTTTCCTTTTTTTACTTGATGAAATGTTTCTTGTTTATTGATAGACAAGCTATATAGTAAGTAAAAATTGATAGACAAGTTATATAGAATGTAACAATTTGGCGAACTTGTATTTTTTGTTGACGTCATAAATAAAAATCTACAGCAACACATTATCAACGCCAGAAACAAGATGATATACAGTCAGTGACTCAATACCGCATAAAAATATATAGGTATACGTTTTGACTGCTCATACAAAATGATTGTGGTATAAACCTTGATTTTAAAGGATAAGGCAAATTAAACATGCTTGGCATTGTCTGTCCTTTTCTTGCTTGATTCTTGTGTAGGCAGCTGTTTCAGTTTTTAACACATGACTTTGTTTGATCCGAAGATTTAGTCAATCATTTTGTATTAACTAGTAATATTTTGCATAAATTATATGAACACATTTTAATTACGTTATTCAAACAAAAATAAATGTTTTTCATACATGTAATCAAAGAGATGACTTGTTAAAATACAAACATATGCAAGCACCGAGAATTTCTCAAAAGCGCCTTAGAGACTTGAAATTACCATTTGTGCAGTCATGTTTTGTCTAATTGGGCAATACATGTACTGTTTTTATGAAATAATGGTGTTCAATTAAGTTATCTAGTCGTACATGCAGGAGAACAGGGGTTCTTTTGTATTAAATTTCAAAGTAAAACTTAATTAATTTAATTTGCTTCAATTCTGTATTCTTATTGAACCTTTTTAATACCATGCTGATCTCTTTTTCAAATCTAATAAATGTATCATTCAGAATTATTATAGACTAAAGTTTAGTAATCATTTGTTTAAGGAGCAATGGTATGCAATTCATTTTACTGTACATTAGAAGCCATAAAAGCGCGAGGTTCAACCCACCATTTTTTGTTAAAATGTCCTGTACCAAGTCAGGAAAATGACAGTTTTTATCTAATAGTTCGTTTCTATGTATGTTGTATTGTCGTTTGTTTTTGTTGCACTTCTGTGTTTCTGTTGTTTCGTTGTTTTCCTCTTATAGTTGATGTGTTTCCTTCGGTTTTAGTTTGTTACCCGGATTTGTTTTCTCTCAATCGATTTATGACTTTTAAACGGAGGTAGACTACTGTTGCCTTTATTTAGACACCATATTCACGGTAGGTATAGTGTCCGGATAGGATCGGGGTTTTTCCAGTGATTTGATCGGGTTTTTTCGATTGTGACCGATTTTTTTCGAGTGAATATGAACAAAAATGTAAACAAACAGACTTTCTTTTTGACAAGATGTGATATAGTCGCTTGAGTTTAATATACAAGGTTATACTAGATATGTTAGTATTTGAGATAAAAAGATATTACTAATCCGACATTATTTTTCGTTGAAAAATTCAAATTTAGCCTTAAAATGCGTTTATTCCAAAATACAGAATAAAGCCATTTTTATACACATACTAATGCAAATGTCAAAGGAAATGCATACATGGAATTTATATATCCTTAGATATACAGACACTTTAAAAATTCTTGTTATTGCATTGAAAACGACATTTTGAGACTAAATTCATTTCTATATGTTCGGGTTTTTTCGAGAGAAGTCCGGGTTTTTTCGAGTGCGTCCGTGTTTTATCGAGTGAATATACAAATTTACTATAGCTTAAAATGTTATGTGTCAGTATATTTACGTTTAAAAACAATAAAAAAGGTTCAAATTAAGTACTTTCCAAGGCATGAAACCAAAGCATTCATCAGTTTGAATATGGTGTACTATCACTTACATGTTGTAAACAAGTACTAGTATCGTTCATTTGTATATATTGTTGTTTGTCACATCTTATAAATTACATGTACAGTATATATTTGTGATGTCAACCATCTAATGTAAGCATAGACAATTTGGATTGAGACGTACATTCATATAGTGTGTTAATTATAAGCTGGTGAACTATTCATTTCATTGTAAATTTTGTATGAAATTTAATTCAAATTTTATTGTCAATGGGAATAAAAATGGGGCGAATTAAGTGTGTGTGGTGGTTTTTTTAATTCATGGATTTTTTTTGTGGAGGTGGAGGCAGGCCTTCTTTAGTAGAATATTTTTTATTACATAGCATCTTTCTGATTTTTTACTGCTGTCCAGTAGGTTTCTTACTCCTTTTTTTTTAAAACTCCGGGGTTCACCACAAAAAATAGTATAAACTGTAAAATCAAAAGTAGCATGAAATGAACTTGAAGTTGCAAAGATTAAGAGTCCCTTGCACTGTGACTAAAGACCGTTTTATAAAGGATCCAATAATTTCTAACTTAACACTGCAAAGTTGTGGTAAGTTTTCCGAACACAAAATTTGCATTAAATTGAAAAAAGGTTAATTTTGATCTACGTAGTATTACACCCCAGTTCTATTGTTATACTTCATAGTTTCTATTTCTGAAACAAGTGTAGATTGAATAGATCAATTGTTAGGAATAACAATGGATTTTGACTACAGGGTAAGACGTGCGGGTTTTCTGGAAACCCCTGCTTCTACATACCGTAAGCACAGTCCATTGTTATTCATAACAATAGAAATTGTTTTTTTTAAGCATGAACATAAGAGATTACTAATAGTATTCACTACAAGCTGTTTCAAAACATATTAAAAAAACAGATTTCAGGAAATTCCAATAGCGAAAAAAATATTTAGCTTCTACTTTGAATTAAAAAATAATTCAAATACTCCTTTGCCTGAAGCTACAATTTTTAATCCCATATGGAAATGTCTTAAAGAACATACATGTAAAGAACTTTTATTAGAATTATACATTCAAAACATATAGTTTTCATTCGGACCAAGTCTTAATCATAAAATAAATATAAAGTTAAAGATTGTTGAAGACTAATGATGGCACCCAGGGGCGAATCCAACCATTTTTAAAAGGGGTAGCCAACCCAAGATAAAAAGAGGGTTCCAGTCAGATGTCCCAATTCAAAAGCATTGA